ATCCTAGGTTTATCCTAATAAATGTAGTATAGTAAAATTACACTATATTACACTACACTAAATTTCACTAAAAACTATAAAACTACACTACTTCTATAGCTTTAGGCTTACGTAAGCCTCTACTAGAGTAGGTTAAAGGGGAGTAGGTAACGTATTAACTAAGTAATTCGGTTAATTAAAGTCTATTATATTTTAAAGCTTATTAGCTTAAGTTTAACCCTTTAATACTTTATATTAATTATACTATTAGCTTAAAAGCTTTAATTTAAGCTTAATTAATAATTAAGTGTTTATAAAAGTAATATTAGTATCTATTAAGTGCGTAAACGTAACGAAACGAGCATTAGAATAATACCTTAAATGCTTGGTTATCTTAAGTGGAAGTTATAGGAGATTTAAAGTCCTCCCAGGCTCATAACTGTCACACAAAAACCGGACGTGGCCACGCCACAATATTTTGTGTGTTATACACCCTTATATTCTCTGCGACATCTTTTGTTCCCTATTGATTGCATGCTCCACCGCGCCCCGCTAGTCAATCATGACTACGGAGTAAAATCGATCAATCAATTGAGCCACTGGCTTAGGCGCTGTGGGGCGCTGACGAGCCCCTCAACTGCCATCAATCTGTCGCAGAGAATATAAGGGTGTGTAACACACAAAATACCGTGGCGTGGCCACGCCCGTTTTTTGGTATTTTTTCGTGTGACACAATCTGCAGGTCTGCGGGGAACCAGATTAGCGGTTCATCAGCGCATCCGTGTTGAATCTTGGCGCCAAACTCCAGAGACCATCCGACGTATGTCTAGACAACGCGCAGCAGATCCCTCGTAACGGAGGGCACGTCGGAAAATAGGCGAATGGGCTAGGCGCTCTTGTCATAAATGCTGCCATGATGCGGCGGTTGCCGAGGGCGTTTTGGTTTAGGACGTTTGATTGGCTGGTAGCGTTGTGGTTGCACAATCTGTATTGACCACATGTGCACCTTCCCATTGAAATTGGAAACTTATCGCCAGACCTCTTGTTCTGGATCCCTCCCTCGACTTGCCCGCATTATCACTGTGATCCTCAATTTTTCTTGTATCTTGTTATTTTTCTTCTTAAACGAAATGACGACCGACGCTGCGGTGGCCAAGGAGGGCCTGGTCATTCCTGTAAGTGGCAAGGCGATGGGCTTGGTAGCATCACCATCCAGGCATCCGCTTCGCTCTGCCGCCACTGATGATTCCTTTTTGCATACTAAACTCTGCTCCAGCTCATAGACTTTTCCAAGTTCCTCACCGGCACCCCTGATGAGCGAAAAACCACCGCCGAGGCTATCCTCCATGGCTTCCAAACTGCAGGCTTCATATACCTGAAGAACCACCCAATCCCGGCCGAAGTTCTCAGCCAGACTTTCGACCGCTCCGCCGATTTCTTCGCCCTCGACACTGACGCCAAGATGAAGTTGGGTTGGACCACGCCCGAAGCCAACCGCGGCTACTCCTCGCCAGGTCGTGAAAAGGTTACCCAGCTGGAAGACATCGCCCAGGTGGACAAGGTCCGAAGCGCGGCACCAGATTTGAAGGAGAGTTTGGAAATTGGCCGCGATACCGACCCAAATTATCCTAACCAGTGGCCGGCTGAGGACGGCAGACTGAAGGGTTTCAGGACAGACATGAACGACTTCTTTAGCCAGTGTCAGAAATTGCATATGGAGGTCATGAGGGCCATCGCCTTGGGAATGGAAATACAAGAAGATTTCTTTGATCGGTTTGTGCATGTGGGGGATAATACGCTGCGGCTGTTGCATTATCCGTCTGTGAAGGCAGATGTGTTTAGGATCAATCCTGGGCAGGTGAGGGCCGGTGAGCACAGTGTAAGGCTCAAGGCCCATCCAGCTTTTGTCCTTGCGGTTTCACCGTTATGAAATTGTGTAATACCTCATTAAGGGGAGATCTCACTGACCAAAATATAGGACTACGGCTCAATCACCCTGCTCTTCCAAGATAGCCGCGGCGGCCTACAGGTCAAAAGCCCAACCGGCCACTTTGTCGACGCCACTCCCATCCCAGGAACCATTGTTGTCAATGCAGGAGATCTACTGGCTCGCTGGAGCAATGACACCATCAAGAGCACTATCCACAGAGTTGTCGAGCCACCCCGGAAGGAAGACAATTCCTACCCTCCCCGATATAGTATCGCGTAAGTATTGATGCCTCGTAGATAATGTGACGAGGGCCGGTCTTGTAAACTCCAGCACAGAAGCTAACTTTGCTTCGAAATAGGTACTTTTGCAATCCGAATACGGAAAGCTTTATTGAGACCTTGCCAGGGACGTATGCTGCGGAGAAGGATAAGAAATATAAGGGTGTGAATAGCGGCGATTATTTGGTGCAAAGACTGACCGCCACGTACTGATAGTATAACTTTGGGTATTGAATTTCTGGGAATACACACCACTTGCAAGATCCATAAAGATTATTTCGCCATGATGCCTATGGATTGCTTCGCCTACAGCGGTTATGAGCGTTACAGCGCAGCCAATAGCAGCATAGCCAAGCCACACCTCCAGCCTTCGGCAAGAATACATGAAGAGGGGTGAGCATGATCCCGTGGTGACAAAATGAAGACTCATATTCATCCTTGGTCAATGTCATGAATTCATGACCTTTATAGTACCGACCGGTGATATCTGGTGATGGTGTTTATCACGGGCTCATCGCATGACGCGAACAACCTGTTAGGCTGCCCCAGCCGACACATTGACAACTTCTTTACCCGAAATGCCTTGGACTACCAAACCCGCAATCAATGTCTACGATTCGCGCAGCTCATATTCCCCGAGGAACCCGTTGGTGAGGCCGACACCCAAGGCGAGTGCTCTTACACTGTCGCCGTCTCGACGACTCACCTACTTCAGTTCCGCCCGGGACGATTCAACCTAGATATGAAGATATACAAAGACGCACGACATGTATTTCAACACCTCGTTTCCGAAATGACGTATTTGGGCCCATTCAGCGGCATCCCGTCATCCAGAAGTCCGCACATCAATCCACCATTGCTGCACGTCTACCTCAAGGACAAGGTGCCCGGCGTCACACTCTCCAGCATTCTGCAAATACACGACACCCCCAACAAGGAGTTCCGCCATAACCTCATCCGAGGCATGGCAGCCATCTTTGCGAAATCATATCACCACCGCGTGCCCTCTCGTCGCCGCCACCCCCTCCCGGCAGGCAAAGGCATCCAGGGACGAATCGGGTCCTCTCTCCGATGGCGGGCAAACCTACTCACAAGCATAGCAGACGCAAAACTATCCCAGGAGGCGCAGGCGACGAAACACCACCTCGGTCACATTGAGCGCTTACCGTGGTGCTTAACACACGGGGACCTCATACAAGTAACATCATGGTTGATGCACAGACGGGCCACATCACGGGCTTACTAGACTGGGCCGAGGGCGAATGGCTGCCGTTTGGCATAGGCATGTACGCCATGGACGAGTGTTTAGGGCAAGACGACGCAGAGAAGGGGTTTGTGTATTTTGACGATGACGCGGAGCTGAGGGCGTTGTTCTGGAGGACGTTTCTGGGGCTCTGTGAGGGACACACGCCGGCACGGAATGGCGTTCTCAAACTGAGCGAGGTGGAAATGGCGAGGAGATTGGGACTGCTGCTCTGGCGAGGCATAGCGTCTGACGACGGGAGGCTGGATAGGTTGGTTGAGGCGGGGAGGGACGACGGCGAGTTGAACAAGTTGAGGGTGTTGCTGGATGCGCCAAGCTTGTTGGAGAGCCATCTCCCGTGAGGCAGGAAGGAGCCGTCAGCACGCAGGCCCCCGGGACCCCACCTGCCTCGGCCCGCCAGCCCGTCATGGCGTGCCCCAATATTCTGCTCCCAACTCCAACACCAAAAATCTCCCATCACCACCACAAACACCACGCCAGCCAGCCCCCAATTGCACCACGCCGCCATGGCTGACAAACCCAAGCCCGCCGCCAAGCAGGCCTCGCCTCTGAAAGACGCATACCTCATCCTCTACAACTTCGCATCCGCAGTTACATGGAGCGTGGTACTCGGCCGCACCCTCGCCGTGCTGTACCTGCGCGGCCCGGCAGCCGTCTACGCCGTCGTGGGCGAGTGGACGAAATGGACGCAGACCGCGGCCGTCGTGGAGATTCTGCACTCCCTGCTAGGTATATTGCCCCTGACTTTTGCACAGCCCAAAAAATAAATAAGTAAATACAAGCAGACCAACTCACAACCCATTCAACCCGCAGGCGTCGTCCGAGCCCCCGTGTCCACAACCATAATGCAAGTCTTCTCGCGCCTTCTACTCGTCTGGCCCGTCGTAAACACGTGGCCATTCCTCGCCCTCTCGCCCTTTTACTCCTCCATGCTGATCGCCTGGTCCGTCACCGAGGTCGTCCGCTACAGCTACTTTGCGCTGTCGCTCGCCGGCGCACTGCCCTCGTTCCTGACCTGGTTGCGCTACAGCATGTTTTACATTCTGTACCCCATGGGCATCACGAGCGAGTGTATGCTAGTTTATGCGGCGACGGGCCCCGCGGCAGAGATGAGTAGCCTTGCGCCGTGGGCGCTCTATGCCGTTTTGGCTATTTACCTTCCCGGTACGTTTTTTACACTGAGGTGGTTGTCCTGGGCAGCGGTTTTTTTTCTTCTTCTTCTTTTTCTATTTGGGGCTAACGAGTTGACAGGGTCTTATATTCTGTTCACGCATATGATGAAGCAGAGGAGCAAGGTTCTGCGTTCGTCCAAGGCCAAAAAGGGTGACAAGGCGCAGTAAGCCTGGACGGGCTTTTTTTTTTCTTTTCTTTTCTAAACAATGTCCTGAGGATGCGAGCAGTTTAATCCTTGCGTGAATGGTGTATGGTACGGGGTATGAGAAAAAAAGAAGGCATTCTGGTAGAACGGAAAGGGGCCAAATCCGGGTTGTGGCAATGGATAAACGTAGATAGACATGTACATTGTAAATTATAATTGTGATTATCGTAGCTATGAGTTTGGTGCGATTTGCTCTGTAGTCTCTCTTTCTTCTTCTTCTTTTTCTGCCCCTTTGCCCTTCTCGTCCACCTCTGCACTTTGCACCCTCTCTGGTGTTGTTGTCTCTGTCGAGTTCTCATACCAATCGTTCCGTGACCACTGGGCAATCAAACCAGCCGCGTCGTGGGTTAGCTTTTCATACCCAGGGTTCTCCTTTGGCTCAAACATGGCTATACAAGTCCTGTTAGCGAGATGTTCCCATGACAGCAGCCCCCCTTCCTCAAGGTAGAGACTTACTCATATGTGCCACCGTCTCATCTCCCGCTTCATCGTTGACCGCCTCGATCCAGTCCCCCGCATTCATCGTCTTGGGCAAGTTACAAAACGTCCTGTCCTTGCCCAGGACCGTCCCAGCCATGCTGATCTTCTTGGAAGACGCACCCTTGCCCAACCTCGTGTACAGGTTGGCAAAGCCCACGCCCAGCTCCTCGTGAAGCCGCACCACGAAGCCCACGCGCTTCTTCAGCTCCTCGGCCCTCGCGAGGCAGCCCACAAACTCCAGATGGGACGACGCCCACGTCCACCCCTCTGCGATCTGGTCCCTGTTCATCCACGCGGCAGCTCCGCCGGAGCGCCGTCCTCAAGCCGCCAATCTGGGAGATTGTCGACGCCGCCGTCTGGTAGTGGCTCTCTGCGCCGGGCCGTGGGCGACCACGCCGGGCGATATCCCGAGGTAGGGCGTGTCAAAGGCCAGCACGCCCTGGACGTAGGGGAACATGAAGGCGTTGAAGGCGGGCCTCTCGCCGTCCGACTTGCGGATCCCGTCCTCCGAGTAGATTGGCTTCTCCGACGCCAGCGCGATGAGGAGCTCGGCGGCGACTATCCCGCCCATGGAGTGGCCGACGAGGATGGTCCGGACCGAGGGGTCGACCGTTGGCGACGCCGTGCCTGACGCTACCTCCATGTCTATCACCTTGTCCTCCAGCCTGGGTGCTGTCAGCCGTCTCACTCGCCTACATTGGTCTGCATGTTCCCGCCACGAGAGACATGACAACTATAGAAAAGGGGCCGGGGATGGTAGAAAAGACGAACCAGCTGCGGAATCGGCTCACGCATTCTCCCAAGTCCCCTCTCGTCTCGTACTTGGGGTACACCAACACCCGCACATCGACCTTGGGTAGTTTCTGCGCAACAATGTCTCGTAGGTGCTTGGTAAACTCGTAGTCGTCTCCAAAGGTTGACTCGCCGCCCTGCGAGGCCATGCGTCAAGTAAGTCCTGTTGCACGCAGTCGCCACCATGGCGGCGGCAGCACGTGAGCCCACGTACCTTGAAGCCGTGGATAAAGCACAGCAGCAGCGTCTTCTTCATTGTGCGATAGTATCGTCGAGTTGAACCCGGTTCAGACTTTTGAAATGACTCATTTGTTCTGTGCGATGCATGTGCTACCACGGCCTGGGGTGTCAGTGGCGACCGGCATTTCTTGATTGTATTGTGGTGGGTGGATCAAGATGAAGTCGAGTCCGAGTTGTGACAAGTCGAGAGTTGCGCATTACTGGCCACCTTGGGTTCCCGCCAACCGCCACACCACCCAACACACCACCACGCACTTGGGGCGGCCACACGCTCCGGCATCAACCATTGACCACGAAGTGACGTAGGAAAGATTATTGGTTTTGTTTCTGCTTCCTAGGCCTAGGTAACTTACTTTTGGGGGGGGTTTGGCTTGTTCGCGTCGATTCAATGCCGAATTCTCATCACAATTCATGTGCTCCACCCCAACATCACCCTTTCGCATACTCGGTCACATTAAACTTGGTTTGTACAATCTTCGTCGATATCTTCTACTAAAATACATTTTTTACTCCATATCTAAACATGCCTGCCCAGATCGAGGAGTTCCGAACACTCTGCAAGCAACTTCGTCTCTGCCTCGACTACTGCATCTCGTCCCATCGTTTAACCACCATTTGCGTACGCTTGGTATTTGAATCCGCCCTAGGCCGCTCCATCCCTTTGATACACGTTTATAAACTCCCCAGCCAGATAAACGCCGAGAAAAAAAATGCATCTGCCAAACAACTGCACAACAAAAAGACAAACCGCGGTTGCCAAAATGACCATATGAAACAGATCCGTCACGCTGCATCATCAGTACTTGGGGATGCAAGCTGAGAGTGCTATTAATATCCTGCACAGGTCGCGGTGCTTCCTATCCCTGCTCCGTCACGCCAAGTCGAGTTTCATCGTGTGCCTCATTCCTCGTCGCTCTGAGCAGACGACTTGGCGCCGTTGACAGCCTCACTAGCGCGCGCGCTGCTGGAAATAATCTTGATTCTAGTACCGCCGCTTGGCTGTGGTGTGCTTGCTCCTTGGCCCGATGGCGCAGCAGATCCGGCCTTGCTGCCCCCTTCTTCCAGCTCTTGCAGTTCGGGGTGAGCTTCTAATTCCTCTTGGAACTTTTTGTTAAAGAATTCCTGCGCAATACTATTAGATATGGTGTCCTGGAAATTCCATCTTGTACTGCTTTAAACTTACCTCCATAGTCTTGGCATCCTGATAGAGAATGCTGCCGTCCTCGTTGTAGGTCTGGCAGTTGCGGATCATGAGTTGAAAATCTTTTCGCAAGTCGCTAAGGCTAGAGTATTCTTCCTTTTTGATACGGGTCTGGATATGATTCATGCAGATGGGATTCTGGATAATCACATAATAGTCGGCGTAGTCCCTCTTGGGCGGTAGCTTGATGAACGGGCCGATGATTAGGCGCTTGCCAGCATCCGACTCGTCATCCTCAGCCGGTGGTTCAATGTCGTCCACCTCCAGGTTCATCAAGGCATCGTAGAGGGCTCGCAAGCTCTTTTGAAGAACCTCACGCTGTTGAGGACTGACTCTGGAATCGGCGGCAGCTGAGCCACCCTTGCTCGATCGGCCTTGAGGACCCCGTCGCTTCTTGGCTGGGGGTTCTTCATCGCCATCCTCCGCCTTGCGTTTCTCGTTCTTGCTACCAGGTTTGCGGCCACGCTTCTTTGGAGTCTCAATCTCTTCTGTGCTCGCGCGACTAGCTGAAGGTGAGTTATCAATCGAGTTCATAAGCGCCATCTTCTTGAGCCTGTTTGCCTCTCGCTTGTCCTTTCGGGCTTGTTTACGGGCGGCGGCTGCCTCGGGTGAATCCTCATCATCGTCCACAGCCAGCAACCATTGTTCTTCTGTTAAGCCATCATCATAGCGCACCTTGGTACGTTCACGAGCACCACGGCCAAGTACAAGGTCCTCAGTCTCTTCTTCAACCACATTGCCCTCATTCAGATAGATTTCAGGCAGCTCATCATCCCCCATGAGTCTAGGCTTGACCTTTGCACCAGCAGAAATACCATAGACAGGGTCCCGAGCCCGCTCCTCATCAATCTTCTGGAAAATTGCAATTTCATCATCGCTACGTGCAAGCATCATATTCAGTTCCTCGTCTTCCATGTCATCCTGTTCCCCGCTTTCAGCCATGTCTGCACTCTCAAGCAGGGTTCGAAGCATAGCGTCACGGTCAGTTTCTGAAGACTTGTTATCGAATCGACCGGCTTGAATGACCTTGCCGTCCATATCCAACTTGAATCTGGCACGCTCCAGGATCTTCTCTTCGACAGAGTTTGAACTGATCAATCGAAGAATTCGCACCTCGTTCTTCTGACCGATACGATGGGCACGATCCTGAGCTTGAAGATCTTGGTGAGGATTCCAATCAGAGTCGTAGATGATGACAGTATCAGCGGTCTGCAAGTTGAGACCAAGACCACCAGCACGGGTGGAAAGTAAGAACATGAAGTACTTCGAATCAGGGGCATTGAACTCTTTGAGCAAGTCTGATCGTTCGTCAGATTTGGTCGTACCATCAAGACGCAGATACTCGAATTTTCTGTAGCGCAAATAATCCTCCATGATGTCCATAATTGCCGTCATCTGGAAGAACATCAGGACGCGATGGCCCGTGGCCTGGTACTTGGGCAGGATACGGTCCAAAAGCTCGAATTTACCAGCTGTTCTCCACAACAAGTCGTTGCTGATGCTCATTGGATTCATGACATTCTCAACTTCATCAAAGACAAAGGGATGGTTACACAACTTGCGGAGCTGCATAATCATGTTGCTCAAACCACGAGCATTGGTCTTTCCACCCTTGCCATCGCTCACCACCAGTTTGTTGTGTGTGACCATTTGCTTGTACAGCTTGGCCTGGAGGGCGGAGAATTTGCACTTGATGACCTTTTCAGTCTTGTCGGGCAGATCCTTCTCCACATCCTTCTTCAAACGTCTAAGCAAGAATGGTCGCAGGACCTTGTGCAAACGACGAATAACGAGAATTTGCTCTTCTTCGGTGAGCTCCATCTTATCCTGACCACCGGTATTGGCAAATGGAGTATTGAACCACTCGTCAAAAGTTTTGACAGACTTGAAAATATTCGGCAAGACAAAGTTAAGCATAGACCACAACTCGGCCAGATTATTCTGAAGAGGAGTACCTGTGAGAATCAGACGGAAGCGAGTTGTGTAGTACTGCTGGATAGTAGCACTGAGCTTGGAGTTGCTGTTCTTCATACGATGACCTTCATCGATAATCATGTGGAACCACTTGATTTTGCTAAGAATCGGCCGGTCCTTGATAATGTATTCGTATGTGGTCAAGAGAACTTGGAATCGGCCCTGTCGAATCTTCTCCTGCTGTAGTTTTCTGGCGTTTGGAGGTCCCTTGTAGACGATTCGGCTAATAGACGGCGCCCACTTTTCAAATTCGAGGTTCCAGTTGGTGAGGGTACTGAGAGGCACGATGACGAGGTAAGGACCACTCTGCAACTTGCGCTCAATGAGATAGGTGATCAAGCTGATGGTCTGAATCGTCTTTCCGAGGCCCATTTCATCAGCAAGAATACCATTGAGGTTGTTGTTGTACAAGGATATCATCCACTGTAGACCCTTGATTTGGTACTCCTTCAAGGTACCACCAACCAAAATGCTGGCCTGCTCAGTGACTTCTTCTCTGATGCGATGGGCAACAGCATAGTAGTCGATCTTCTTGCCACTCTCCTCTTCGTCGTCGTCGCTCTCTTCTTCAACAAAAGGCTCCGCATCATCACCGTAGGCCTCAGCAGCATGGCGTTGCTGGGCCTTAACCGAGGACGCCAATTGGTGCAAGAAACCATCAGTTTGCTTGAGAAGATGCGTAATACGAGTATCCTTGGCCTGGTCAAGCAACTTGAGATATGCCTCTTCGTCGTTGGCCTTGAGAGCCTGCAAACGCTGCTTGGCCGTTCTCTCGATACGTTTCTGTTCTTCCTTTTCAATATTAAAGTGTTGGGCATACATGAGACGGCTAAGCTTGTGTGATTTGGTCTTCTGAGAATTAGCACTCTCTTGGATTTCAGCGCGGTGGTGACAGATGGCACGCAAGAAATCGCTGTGCTTCTTCTTCTCCCGATTCTCGCGAGCGTCACGCTGTTGCTTCTCAAGCTTCTCAGTGATGCGAGCCTCACGAACATTCTGCTTCTTCATTCGGCGGTAGTGACTTCGGTTCGTCGTCATGGCCAAATTATCATAATGCATCATCTGTCGACCAATTTTTTCGCGCAAAGCCCTCTGCTTAGCATACAAAGCAAGGCTCTTCATTTCAATTATGGCTTTTCGCTTCAGTGTGTCATCGGCCTCGACAACCTCCTTTGTGGAATCCCAATGAGCCAAATTTGCCGGCAAGTTTTTGAGCTGAGAATACCGTTGGCTCATTCGATTGAAGATGACAACTTCTCGCTCGTATCGAAGGTGGTCAAAGTCAATACCAGTCGGGAAGACGCCAGGAATGAACCATCGGTTCTTGCGCTGCGCATGGTCGAGGTATTTTATCGAGGGTCGAATCATACTCGTGCCATACGGCGATTTTACAGTCTTATACGTGTGAGCTTTGGGAACGGGGGACTCTTCTTCGGTTGCCATTTCAGGCCCTGCTGAAGGTGCCTTTTCAGCATCTTGACTCGGCTGTGCGTTCTTAGCAGAGCTTGATGTGGTATCAATGGCAGTGGCCTGCCGACGCTGTCTTTGGTTGAAGATGGCCTGCTGCAACTGAACAGACACACCAGCGTTCTTGCCCAGAAGCTTGAATGCGTGGATCTGCTGCCTCAAAAGAGCAAGCTGTTGCTGGCTGAACTGAGTTGAGCCAGAGCCCGGCGTAGGCGGTGCAGTGGGAGCGGCGGCGGGTGTCTGTGCCGAGGTAATGGCAACTCCTCCTTGAGGGCCAGCGTTGGGTTGCGTTGATTGAGGAGTGCCTGGTTGCGGTCGGCCGGTTTGTACACCATTTTGCATCTGCTGCTGCTGTACGAACTGTTGTTGGTTTCTGCGCATGTTGTGTTGTTGCTGGAAGCTCATCAAGAAGTGGGAGGCCTTGATGTATTCGGGGTCCGTTGGGGGGACGCCTTGCTCTTTCATCTGCTTCAGCTTCTATATATGCACCAATCAGTATCCCCGTCATCAAATATCGTCTGTCTGGCATCGAGATGGTGATCCAGTGTCGAACAAACATGCTCAATACATACCCTGAAGACTTCCTCGGCTTGTTGCTTGGTTGCGCCGGCAGGCATCGGCGCACCTGGGGGTTGCACCGCAGGCGGAGCTTGCACCGACGCCATGATGGAGCTGTGGTTTTTTTAATCGTCTGTGCCGAAAATATACCCCAATGGTCAAACAATGGTGATTTCGGATTATTTACGGTGCATGACGATGGTGAACTGGCTGTCGATGGGAGTGGCGCGAGCACAAGTAGCAACTCGAGCGTTTCACGAACTGGTCAAGAGGGAGAAGTCGGGCCAAAAGAAAAAAAAACGAAAGCGGAATGCGAAGAAAAAAAAAATCCAAGGTCGCGTCAATACTCGGCGAATGGAGCGCTGCGCAGCGAGAGATTTTATCTAAGCGAATGTACACACGTCGTAAAAGCGTGTTGCAAGTCGTTTGATATCCGCTACAGTCGCGTTGGACGGGCTGTATGTCGGCCGGCGAGGCGTGGGGGTGGAAAATAGACAAGGGAACCACCAGACGTGAGGCCAGGAGATGGCGAGGGAGTGAAAAAGTGTGAATGCAGTGACGCGGCGCGTCGGGGCTGGTGCCTCGAGCGTAGAATGCGTGCAAATCGCGTGCAACACCAAGTTGGCGAGGATTGGAGATGGCTGCGGATGGTTTGCGAGGGGACCTGGCGATTTTCGGGATGCGCGCGCGCTTCCTCGCTGGTTGATGATGGGGAGTGGTGAAGACAACGGACAAGATTGAGCGTGATGGCTGGTGCGGTCTGTGGACGCTTGGCCACGGTAAATCTCAGCACGCCCTCTGCGCAGGCAGAATCCCGCCACTCATGCTCGAGGGCGACACTGTGATTGGTCAAATGCCGTCACGTGAAGCCTGAAAGGCCATGGAGAGGTCAAGGAGCCGCCAATCCCCGGTGTATTAGGTAATCCACTGAGGACGGAAGACGGACTTTATCGAGTCATGGAGTGTCCGTTGAGAGGCATAACGGAGCCACCTCCATGCCAAGGCTACATTTCTGGTTCTAAAGGTCGGCCTAGCTGCTCTCATACCCAAAAGTTAGAAGCCAAACCCGGCAACAATATGTACTTGGGTCAATACATGAAGCGCTAGGGCTGCTGGCATCCAAGCGGTTCGTCTACGCCATCATGCTGCATGATGAGACACACACATCCTTTTGCGTCGTGCATACATACTAAAAATGGCCGAGCAAAAGCCAACTCGGCCAAATTAGTCCTTGTGGACCTCCCGTTGCCAGTACGGAGTAGTGGCGGGGATAAGCGCTCGCAGGGGTTCGCGCTTAATCTTTGAATCAATTGATTCCAAAAGGGTGTTGTCGCACTACAGTCTGTAGTATAGTGTATTTGCCCATCTCTAAGTATACACTGATATTAATACCGCAGTATTGGACCCGAGAGCGCGATAGCCAGGTACCTGCTCCGGATAAGTACTTCTGGCACCTCGCCGTACTTTTTCACCTCTTCACCTTCTTCTTGTCCGGCTTCTCCTCCTCTTCGTCGCTCAGCTCTGCGTACTGTGTCTTGGGCTGTGTCTTACTCCATGCTTTGGTAAAGATCGGGTCATTTTGGGCCTTGTCGGCATACTTCAGTAGCGCCTCCCGAGGATCCTCATGTAACATGCGAGCAAGTGGGATGTTCTCAGCAACATGCTTCTCGTCTGGTTGATTCTTTTGAAATGGAGTTTGCTGAGGGACGTGGGGTCGGCGTGGATCCTTCGAGCGCCCAGTCCCAGTCACACCCGACTTCTTAGCACCAGGCAGGGCACCAGGTGTGATAATTGCGTCTCCAGACATGCCTAGCCCTTGATCCATCGTCAAATTCGGGTCATCGTCGATATGTCGCTTCTTCGGTGCTCGAGACATGACCTCCACGGCACCGCGGTTCGATGTTGTTGGGTTATACAAGACGTGCGTTTCAGCATTCGCCGAACCTGTAATAATCTGGTTGATCCTTGGATGCCAGTTCACGGTAATCAAAGCCGACCCGGGTGTTATAGGAGTCACGTGTTCAGCCCGAAGGTTGCCAGGGTTTAGAATATGTAAATGGCCTGTCTCCGAACCGGTAATGATGCTGGTGGAGTTTGGCGAGTATTGAATATTGCTGGTCGGGAAGTGGTCCGACGTAGATGTATGAGAGACGCTGACAAGAGGTTTGGTGAATTTTCTGGTATCCCAAAGCTTGATCAGATCGTCGCCTCCTCGTGTAACTACCATGCGGCCATCAGAAGAAATATCAATGCCGCTAGTCCAGGTATTTGGCTTGTGGGCGTTTTGGATTTCACCCGCAGGTCGAGTGAACGGTCCATTGCCGCCGTACATGACCAAGGTCCCGTCGAGCGCTGCACTCACGAGCACATTATTGCCGCCCTGAGATGGCTTGCCCCAGGCTACCGCTGTCATTTTTGTTCTGCCAGCTGAGCCAGCAGCTTTAGACTTGAACACCACTACCTCCTTCTGAGACCGCTTATTGTTGATGTCCCATATCCGTAATGTGCTATCCGTGCCGGCCGTGATGCAAAGATTCTTGTCTGTCGGGTGCCATGTTCCGCCAGTGATCTCTGAAATGTGTCCTTTCGTGTTGTTCATGTCTCTGAGATACATGTCTCCTTTGACGAATTCAGTGAGGATTCCACCATCTCTTGACATGATTTTGGCCTGCGGGTGTGCAGAAACACATAGGAAAACGCCTCCGGAAAGCTCGTTGAATTCCACGTGGTGGATAGGGTGCGATTCAGCGGTGGCTGCGGATTTCTTCGTTTCGTAAGGGTCAACGGTCTTGAATGCTCGTAGTGTTGTTGGTGTCATGGAAGCAAAGTCGTGAAAATTAATCACACAATCCAGGGAGGCTGTTAACAGTCGACCTCCAGAAGGATCCAAGGAAACCGTGGTGACCGCACGGTTGTGTGTCTTCAAAACAAGTTCGTGCGAGACTGGATACTCGTCTCCGTCGTCTGAATCGTCCGAATCGTCATCGCTGTCGTCACTATCACTAGAACTCCCTTTGGGCTGGGGTTTCTTTCCCTCCGATATCCTTGCATCTAGGGCACCAGCACGGGCCTTGCTGTCCGCGTTCCTCTTACTTCTGTCGATCTGGGCCGCAATGTTCGCTTCTTTGGACTTCTTGCCAAACGAGGTTGGAAGGAAGGCTCGCATGGGGTCATCCTCTGCCAGGTCGGGAACCTCTATTTCGAAGTCATCGTCGCTTGCCATATCTAAGACTTCACAGCATAGCTGCGAGTGCTGACTTTGGAATGATTTAGGAAGTGCGAAAGTTGGAGCCTGAGATGCGAATTCCTTTGCGACTAGAATCCCGCCGTCACGTGTGGGGCCAACTCGGTACTTTTCTGTGGTGCGAAGTCTATTTGACATCGAGACTCTGAATATTCGGCATTGGAGAGCTAAAATCGGCATACTTACTAACCATAGTTGCTCAAGATAAAAGCTCAATACATTAATTTTTTAATTTTTCTTTTCTTTTCTTTTTTGACATATCCAAATGATCGTGCAAGCACCACATCAGGTTGGGCTCAGTGAGAGTAACACAATGTGTCCGACTCTGGTCTTGCCCAAGCCAGAGAACCGCAACAAACCACGTAGTATTTCTTATCATTACACCACGTCCTGCTTGCTGTTACTATAAATGAGCGACTTGACTGATAACAGGCGTCTATTTAGGAAGCGTGATTTTATCCACTGGCCAAGTAGGGTTATGCTAGAGCTAAGTCTCTAATTGCTTCTTAGCCGCATAGGAGTACTACCGCATTAGAATATATAGCTGTGCTTAATTAAGCCGCAGCATTTAAACTAGGCTCTGAATACCGCGGTTGCTACCGAAATCTTGGTTCACTTCAAAGTGAAAATAAAAGTTACAAAATTTCATGTCCAGAAAATATACACCATAAAGCTCAATACATGGTTCGATTTAGCAGCACGCCAGTCTCGTTTCGCGCCCATATGTCCCCGTCGACTTCGTTCTCTCACCCCCCTTACTCCGTAATTAACCTAGTCTCTAGCCTCCAGTCTGCAATCAACATTGAAACCCTTGCTGCGACCCGGCCATCATGATGCTTTTTCAATCAAGCACCGCTTTCCTTTGGGACTCATCAAAAAATAGATGGTCTCAATCATGTCATCATCCGACATTCCTTCACGCGCAGATATATGTGCAGTCGGAAATTCCTGGAAGAAGCGTGCCGTGGCGAGCCGAAGTTCGATATACGCCAAGTGCAATCCTATACAAACTTGAGTTGGTGTCAGCGGTCAATTCTTGCTAATAGGCAACACGGGAGTTGAAGGACATACTTCTTGGTCCACGACCAAATGGCATGAAGGCCTCCTTCATAGCTTTTGTTGGTGACGCCCACCGATAGGGATCAAACTCGTCAGGATTTGGGAAAATCTCTGGATGCCGGTGCATCGTGTACGCTTGGGTGGCCACCGTGGTACCACCTGGGAGCCAGTAACCCCCGAGCTCTACTCCGCCTTGAGGGACCTCCCGAGGAAGTGGTGCTGGAACTGCGGAATAGAGACGAAGCGTCTCTTCGATGCATTGGCTTAGGAAAGGCAGCTCTCGCAGATCATGTTCGGTGAAGTCATTGGGCAACGTTTGAAGCTCTCTCACAAGCGCATCCCGGAGTTCAGGTCGCCGGCAAACGGACCAGAGCAAATAGGTTAGGGAATTCGATGTCGTATCACTGCCGGCTACAATAAAAGACTGTGCGTTTATGACGATCTCCGAGAATGACAACTTCTCATCCTCTCTGGCCTTGAACATCTTGGTGACAAATATTTGCTTTGGCGCTTCTGGGTTTTGGTCAATATAATACTGATAGCGCTGAAGAGACTGTTCAGCATAGCCTAGAATGCGTCTGGCTTGTTGAAGGTTCTTCTGAAAGATGGGCAGTGGATATTTTCTAGCCAAAGCAAGTACTCTTGGGAAGGTGACTCGAACGGCAGATAACGCTCCAACTCCCTCCAAATCGTGGATGTACTGGTTTTTCTACCGCACAAACCGTGTCAGCGTCCTTTCAAGTCGACAGCGTCAAGAGTTTGGCTTGATGCCGGAACGTACCTCGCCTTTCTCCAACATTTGGAACGACTCGCCAAAGGCAAGCTCGCCTATGACATCCGTTGTCATAAAAAGACTCCATTTAAAGACATCCGCAAAGCCTCGAGTTTCCATGTCCTCCTTCATCCTCTGAATCGCCAACTCTACGCGAGAGGTTATTGCTGGGAGAAGCGACTTCAACGACGACTCGGACAATTGTGCGGACATGAGTCTTCTCAATTTCCGATGATAGTCAACATCGGCAGTCGTAAAGATATTCGCTATGGACTGTGCAGTCAAGTGTCTGTAAAATATGGTTTTGCGAAACGTCTCTTTGGTGCTGTAAATGATCTTGGTTGCATCGAGATCGGCCACGGAAACCTCATTTGGTCCAATCCGAACATACGGGCCTGATTCATGAGATGGTTAGTCCCAGTTCCGACATGCGAGTGACGGGATACGAAGCAATACCGAATTTTTTGTGCAAATTGTGGACATAGAACACTTTGTTCCCTTTGTAGTAGTGATATTTGGCAGCCAGGTCTGTCCACTTCGAATACCAAGGACCGGGCAGCTTGGAAAGGGGATTGGATAAACCGGAATATATAAACTGTCATCCATGGAGGTTAGTATGTTAACAGAAGATGATTGGCATTTATGGTTTGTGCTAACATATAATACCGTTACAACCAGAGCGACGCCGACCAGTTTGGGAACATGGTCTACCACGCGAGACTCCATCTCTTTGGTCTGTCTGGGGTATGGCTTGGAGATTTGGACCAGAGCTCGGCGAAAGAAGATGGGCAAACAAACAGGTACCAGACCTCCGTCCTGCTCATTCAATTTATAACTTGTTTCTACCGATCCATCAGAGGTACTGATGCGTCACCAAGCTGCATCCCGTCTGAACCACCCACTGCCGTCCTTGCCGCCACTTACACAGTTAGGCAGGCTATCGAATAGGATGCGCGAGACCCGAATGCAAACGAGTTTATTCGGCCGCAAATCGTAGCTTGCAGAACCGGTATGCTATCCCATGTGCCTATGACGGCGGGAAATACGCTGTCTTTCCGAAAGAGCGAAGGCCGGTTTGCCTCTCAAGGATCGGGTGTTCGGGGGGCGTCACTGACCGACCTGGTCTGTCCTTCCACTCCGATGTAACCCTACATGGGATTACTCTGCAGGAAAAGGACGAGAAATACGGGGAACGATGCAAATAGTCTGGTGCTGTTTGATCAAGGTTTCTTTGGCGGGGACTGTAGAACGGTGTGTGTATGTGTCATTTGTTAGTACAACATATTTCATTACGGCCGGGCAATCGGCCGGTTCAACTTGCACGAGCTACGCGAGCCCAAGCTAGACCCCCCATTCCCAACGTTTTGCATGAGACATACCATGTTGCCACGTATGTTGTCTTTTATTCAATTTCACGGTCTTAAGCGGTCTGTAAGGGCAACAAGGGATCTTACTGGTTCATCGCTGGGCAGTACAAGCTTGTGGCATGTGCTGCATTTCTACACCGTCATGGACTCATGGTCATGGATAAGCTTGACAATGCAGCAACACCAGGCCAGGAGAGCCTTCATACTGGACGTTATTGTTACTTGACCGTGACTTCAGAGGGACAAAAGTGCAGTGAACCCCGTTGTTTTGCTGCCTTGAGTATATTTCGACTCGTCGGCGATCTATCGGGCTTGGTTCAAGGGCGTATCACAGATGCAACACTACCGCAGGTCTTCTCGTCAGAAGCTTCAATCCGAAACAAGAAAGCGTGCAGAATATGGCGTGCTGCCGTCAAACAGCTCTGCAAGCCGACCCTTCAACGGTGCATTTGCCATTTCATGCCATCCTCGCCCATCCTCGCCCATCGGTTGTCTCGGTCCTCCGACCGTACATCAACAGAATGTTCTTGGCTCCCAAGGTCATGTTTATTCCGAAGCAACCAAGCTCTGTGCGGTGAACACGGGACACGAGTGGATACCATGTACGTGTACGTACGGAGAGATGCACCAGACGCGACATAGACGTCAGTCCCAGGTGTAAAACTTACTACTTAAGTAGGTAGTAACCAACTTTCTACGACAGTTCATATAAATGACGAGTAGCTGGCGCCTCCGCATGACAAGACACCTTTAGCCTGCCAACATGGCTTGCATGAAAAGAGCGAAAACAAAACAAATAAGAAGCAACTTGGCCCTCACATTTGAAATATTGTGGCAGGCCCGTGCAGCTATGAATGCGCAGAATGCAATTGAAAACATCGAGACACAGACCACTCAACTGGTGGTATATGGGTCCTAGTGTTTCTGCTTCCCCTTGGGCTCTTTCATGATGGAATAATGGCATCCCAACAAGAGACACGGTCTCGATGGAAGACAAGGGACGTTATTCACACATATCAAGTAATTGGATAGGCTGCAGAAATAAAATCAGCCAATATTTTAAGCTTATGAGTCTGGTGGCATAGCCGCTTACAAATGAGACACTTGCCAGGGCTGGTGCGATACTCTCTTCTGATTGGCTGCTGCTGGCTTCTGTCTCGGTGTAGATCGCGACGTCGGACGCGGCTGGCCGTTTTGTTCTTCTGCTCCTCACTACCACTCGGCCCAACCGCCCTGCGCCACAAGGATGCCTCCTGATCCAGTCCTAGACGAGGAAGACGAGCAATATGCTTCGTCCCAAGACTCGGACTTCGCTCCCGATGAAGCGCCCGAGCCGGTGTCCGACCAGTCCGATGCCGAAGACGCAGAAGAAGGCGACAAGAAACGAAGGTCATCAGAGCCAGACGGACAGGCTCACGACGATGGTTACGATAATTCTGGAGATGAAGCCATCATAGCAAAGGGCACTAAAAGGCGGAAACGAGCAGAAGAGAAGGGACGCCCCATTGACGAGGATGAAGGCGGCGAAGGAGGATTGGTCAAGACCCGTGCTCAACGTGCAGCCGAGTGAGTACCTTCCCAGCCGCTCCATTCTTTTGCGAATGACTGCAAGCTAACTTTTTTTTTCTGAAGAAAGGAGGAGCGCAAGTACGCCGTAAACCATGGTCCCGTCACAATCGACGTTGATGCCTTGTGGGCGCAGATGATGTCCGGCGAGCAAATCAAACCCAGTACCCCGCCAGTCGAAGCAAATGGAGAGCATACAAAGGAGCCTTCCGACAACAATGCCGCTCCAACGGCCCCGTCGGATGACCCCCAGTCAGACACTATCCGCATAAAGCGCACATACAACTTTGCCGGTCGAGTTCACACCGAAGAGAAGGTTGTGGCCAGAGATTCTGCCGAGGCGAAGCTATATCTTGCGTCCCAGGGCCAGGACGCACTCGACGTCGATTCATCACCAACAAAGCGCGCCACAAGGAAAGCGTTCCGCTCTGCGTTTGAGCCTGTTGTAGACGTCAGGATGGGACGTGCAGACTTGAATCTCGGGCTCGCCGCAAGAATTCAAGCTGGCAAGGAGGCTCGAGCCAAGAAGCTCAATACAGTGGAGAAGAGCAGAATGGACTGGGCGGGATACGTTGACCAGGAGGGAATCAAGGACGAGCTGGAGTTGGCGAGCAAATCGAAAGATTCCTACACCGCTCGACAGGACTTCTTGGCGAGAAGCGAAGCTATACGGGAGGACGATGCAAGGAGAGCCAGAATAGCCGGCAAATCATGATTGAGTTAATGGAGGCGCGATTGCATATTCGGGCGTTTGGGATGATACCATGGAAGTTGGGGTTCTCGGTTAGATGGGTGGAATACAACGGTTCCTGTTCTTGGTGTACAATACGGAATGAAGAGTAATGGTAACGGGCCTATGTGCCAAATATGCTGCTCCACTACCTGAAAATTTTCAGAATAAGTATCAACTAATCCAACTCGTCTTCAATACTAGCTAGACAGTGTTGTGTTCTCCCCGTACTTCGGGCAGGCCTAGCAACCTACTACATATTTATGTCTAAGTAGGTACCTAGTGGCAGTGGGGCAAGCATCATAAAGTCAATCCAATCCCACCGGTTGACCGCTAAGGCTCCCTACGCATAAGGCTGAACAGCCTCTCCATAAATTTATGACATTTTCACGCAACACCTCACCATTACCTCGACATACCACAGCACACGACGAATGACATAATGGCCGTCCTAGGCAAGCGCAAAGCGCCCGCGTCATCAATATCTGAACCAGACGCAAATGAATTACTCCGCCGACATTTCGAGGCTAGGTTCCAACCACTCGAAGAAAGACCTTCCAGCACAAAGGCGGAGCAACAAGCAGCTGAGGGCGACAGTAACGAGGACTCGGAATGGGGCGGATTGTCAAACGACGATGCCGCTGATAGCAATGATGAGGAGGAATTTGATGACGCCGAGGATGTTTCCGAACACGAGTCCGGCGATGACGGTAGGCTGTTTCGTCCCCGTCCTCGCAACTCAGCGTGCTGATGGTTGATCGACACAAAGATGCACCAACAATCGAAATAATCGACCACTCGACCCCCCAGCTCCCCAAAGAGTCAATGCCCAAGCGCGAACTCAAAGCATTCATGGTCAGTCCCCTCTCTTCCTTTGCATCACCCGCCAGAGCCCACTGACGCATCTCAGTCGTCGCGGCCCCCGGACCAGACCGCAACCCCCAACCCCGTCCAGCCCGCCGTTTCCTCCAAGTCGTCCACCCTCCCCGAGGACGCACCCTCGCTCCTCAAACAAGATCTTGAACTCCGCCGCCTCCTCGCAGAATCGCACCTCCTCGCCCCCCACGCCGCCACCAAATCACTCTCGTCCGTGTCCTCCTCCAACGCTGCGCAGCCGAAATCCTTTGCAGCAGGGCGAACAAGGCAAAAAGCGACAGACCTACGTGTTCAAGCGCTTGGTTCGAAGGTGTCAATACATAAGCAGGACAAGATGCCGATGCATATGAGAAAGGGCATGGCTGCGGCTGCGGATGCGCGTGAGGCTAAGAGGAGACGGGAGGCCAAGGAGAATGGAATCATTCTAGAGAGAGAAACGGGAAAGCAGAGGCGGGCCAGAGGTCGCAGAAGTGACGTTGATAGACCGGGTGTGGGCAGACTGAAGGGTGCTGAGTTGCGCATCAGCGAAAGGGACGTCAAAAGAATTGAGGGTACCCGGGATGTATTTGGGCGCAAAGGGAGAAGATAGATTGCAGGGAGTGTAAATCGAGAGCAAATCTTAGTATCACTACTTGGGGCAGTAGTTCGCAACACTAATCTTGGGGTAGATTTTTCCCAAGAGTTATGCGACTATGGAGCGCTGTTTGATTGGCACAACGTGCATCCAAATCCACAAGAAACAGAAAACTAAACTGAACAAAAAACAAAGACTTCATTTGGTTCATATTTTGTTCGTTTCAATTGAACTACAACAGCGCGTCCAAAGGCATCGCCAAGGACTAACCTCTAAGTTTCGCCCATCTGCCCCACCGGTTTCGAGTTAAAAGCGATAAATGTACAAAGGCGTCCTATCCTGTGTCTCCATCAGAATAATATAATCCCCAGTTCTCCGTCTGAGTCTTTTTAAACGATGGTTTCATCCTTATTCGTTCAGCACACTGAGCACACATCTATGGGTTGTCTCCTCCTTTTCCCACTCATCAGACGCCGAAATAAGAATAAAAGGGGGAAACAGAGGAATAATAAAGAGTAAAAACAGATCAATGGAAATGATATGCAGTAGTAGCTGACTTGGGGGGAATATTCGAGTGATTCCTCACATAAATAGCTGAGCCAAAAACCCCAGAGAGAGTCATGTAAACAAAAAAAAACAAGGAGAAGTGCCGAAATGTATCATGAGATTATCAATCTTTTTTTACATCATGCCACTGGCGTTAATCGTAGCTGGTTGGCTAATCGTCATTGGCATGCTGAGGGTTTGCAAACTGTTGAAGGCCTGAGGCTGGTGCATGGCGCTATTGTTGGCGTTGCTGATGCTATTTGAAGATGAGACGGATTCATTGGCAGCAGCATTGAGAGATGTAGGAACGTATGCAGCCTCAGAAGTAGGAGATGCCTCCTCAACAGAGCCCAGTTGATCCTCACCCGAGTATTCCTCTTCCTCTTCGGCAGAGAGATTGAAAGAACCCTCGCCACCATCTTCGCGGCTGTGGGTACGTTTGTGCCTGCAGGTATACGAGTTAGTAAGTGTCTCCCCACAGAGGTTCGGCTCTTGTAGCTAAATGGCTATGTAGAGTAGACTTACTGTGCAAGATTGTCGGATCGAGAGAATGCTTTGCTGCAATGGGGACAAATGTAGGGCTTCTCTTGAGTGTGCGTTCGAACGTGTCTGGAACAAGGTTAGGATTTCAAAAAAAATTTGCCCCTGCTATGAAGAAGTTGAGACTTACCTCTTCAAATGCTCGAGACGTTTGAAGAGTCGACCGCAGGTTGGAATTGGGCAAGAGTGAGACTTATGGGGGTACGGGCCCAGCTCCATCACAGTAGCTGAACGAGCCCTTCGAATGACGCCGCTTGGGCCAGACAGGGTGCGGCGGTGGTCTTTGATGACACCGTCATGAGAAAGCTCGTCTCCGAAGCCTGGCTGAAGGGTCATGGGGTTCAGTGCCGGGCTCCCATCCACGTTGGACAGTGGTGTACCATGTCGAGACAAATCGACAACATCCTTATGCTGATGGCTGCCCATGGACATACCAGATGCACTGTAGGAAAGTCCGGGAGGAGAATTATCAGCCGACTCCTCACCTTCGGCCACAGGGCCTACAGATGCTGAAACAGATCGTCTCAAATCAGACGGCCTGTGAGCCGCAGTGTTGGGGACAGGCGCACCGGGGATAGCTGAGATAGACGGCGGAATCGAAGATCGACGTCGTCGTTGCTTGTACGTCGGGGAGCCTTCAATGACAGAGTATACATTGTTTGTGCCGTACGAACGGGTGAATTGTGATCCGGCCAGATTTGAAGGAGGCAGCTGAACCATGCCATTGAGGCCATTCACGCCAGACAGATGGTCGGGGATAGCAGAATACAATCCGGTCTCCTCATTAGCAATATATGCAGGCTCTCCCGTCATACCCAGAGCTTGCTGAGGTGGGGTAATTGGCTCAAAAGAGATGCCTCGGTTGCTGTAGTCCTCGTACTGAGAGGAAACAAAGGATGGAGCAGGAGAGTACTCTAAACCGTAGGCAGGCATGGACGCATGTCTTTGATGGCCGTGTGCGATCGGGACGCCGTTTTGGTTGTACTGAACACGGGTGAAGTCAGGTTCTCTTTTGACATGAGCAACTTGTTGGGGAACTGCGGCAGTCATCGGCATAGCTTCGTAAGAGACCATGTGGTCCATCGGTTCACCCATGGCCGCTGCCATGGTTTGAGGCATCATGCTCGGAGGTGGCATAGAATCCATGGCCCTCATTACAGGGGAAGTCGACTGACTCTGAGAAAACGTTGTAGCCTGCTGGGCATTGAATGAAGACGAGTTGGCTTGTTGCGTCTTGGTGAGTTGCTCGTACAAGGACTGAGATGAGTCGTATTGGAAGGACAACGCAGGCTCGCTGACTGCGACTGTGGTGGCTTCCTGGCCCATCTTCTCTCGCTTCAAGTCCCGCTCAAGGGCGTCCAAAAAGAGGCGGTCATGTGGAACACTGTACCAAAAGAAAACCTTTTGCTTCTTTTGTGTCCGAATGCAATTATTCTTGTAGAGGAAGTCAAGAAATGCGCTCTTGGGTTCCTCCAAGGACGCATCGGTGCCAGACTTAAGGTTTCGCAAATCAGAGAAAATACCCTCCTCAAACTTCTTAGAGTTCTTGACAGGGCGGCCAAATGCCTGAAATCTGAATGACAGGCATCGTACAATGTCGGTGCCAGAGATATGAAAGAGATTGTTCCACAAAACGCAAGAGACATACTCGCCGGTGGGCAGTAAAAATCGGCGAATGTACTGGTCTGGCTGCCAATCAACTGGCGCTGAGATGAGAAAATATTTTACTGCAAACATCGGCGGTTAGTAGATACAAATGACCCAGGGAACAAGGAACCCATCCAAAACATGGTTGCTTCAGGCTGCAACATACAATTGTCTACTTGCTGAAGTGCGACCTGAGCATCGTGCGGCAATGCCTGCTGCGCTTCGGTACTCAGCATAAAGGTTTCTGGCTTTTGAGGTGCCATGGTGGCATGTTGTGAGTACATCGTGTCAATGTGTTCCACCGATTGTAGAAACCAACGCGCTCGTCCCAACCAGCAATTTGAGTTCCTATTGATGATTGGGTGTCGTCACAGAGTGAGTGTAGGTGGTGATAGAGATTACAATGCAACCAAATTCACAATCTAACACCGGTTGTATTGTTGCGGTGTTTCAACCAACAATCGCGTTTCGGAGGGTGAAAGTAATGCTCAAGAGGCACTGCCTTGATTGGCAATTGTGTCGGCTTCGCGACTGCAACGAGGAAATATTCGAGACCAGCCCGGATAGTCGAAATTGATGGTGCACTCAATCGAATGGACAGCTCAGCCCAGCCACTGCATCAAGCGGGTTTGAGTCGGGCGCGATGAGTTGCCTTGTTCTGGCCGTCGAGGCAGGACGCCGCATTCAAGGGCGGCCGAGGCCAGAGATTAAGCACGAAGCCAGGATCGAAGCGAATTAAGGCTGAACAAGAAAGAAAGCAGAGCCAAGAAGATGCAAGACACACGAGGTCACCAGGCCCGAAGATGGATATCCGATATCCCGTCAAACAGCCAGCTGGATTCGAAGCGGAAAAAAGGAACGACGGCAGGGGAGGATCGCGCCCAGTGACGACCGTGTCTTGAAGACGTAAAGACAACGACGGGTTGGACGGCGCGAGGGACGACGTGGCTCAGGAAATGGAAAAGAAAAGAAAAGAGACGACCAAGGTCGAGAAAGGGAGGATCAGAGGGGCGGGGGGGAAGGAGAAGAAATAAACGTAGGAAACGACGAAGAGGAGGAATATACGGAGTACGAGAGCGGACGAGAGTCGGGGGGGGTTTATGGCTCAAACAAGTCGCTCGAGTGGTCGCCCAAGCACTCACAGAGGCCGTGGCGTCGGGGTAAGGCGGCGGCGGCCGGGAGCCACAGTCAAGTGCTCAAGTGCTTAGGGTTCGAGGAGGGGGAGCCATGAGAGCAGGAGACCATGGGAGCATGGGAGCATGGCATGGGCCCGGGAAAAGCACCAAGAAGTTCGCCTCGGGACCAGTTGGCGGAAGAGGGGACTGAGCGACAACGACTTGGCTGAGCGGCCGACTGATGGAGCATCGAAACTTGACGGCACATCGAGTCAACGCGGGCTGACTTGGCTAGCTCAGGCACAGGCACAGGCGCTGGCAAGGGCTGACCGGGGTCAACATGCTAGCGGCACAATGAGGAGACCAGTCGAACTGACGGGCATCTGGGCCTGGCAGGGCATGGCGGGACCGGTCTTTGGTCCAACCCGTTGAGCGAACAACATTGAACGGGCAGGCTTGATCCCTCTGATGGTGTGGAGACAACCGGTGGGCTGGCGGACGGATGGACTGGCAGCTGGTGCGCGAGAGGATTGCCCGCCGCTGAGTGGACGAATCGAACTCGGATGGAGACGTGGGACTGGTGATGGGGCAATGCCAATGGCCACCACCGTGGACCATGGCATGAATTGGCTCTGGCATGGGCGGCGCGCGGCACAAAGAGAGAGGCAGCCATGTTGTGCTGCGAGTTCAGGTACAGATTCATACTGCCATTGTCCGATGTTGCCAATGTATCCTGACGTTGTAAAGTACTTGAGCTTCTAACTAATTCACGTACTGACGGGAACTGGACGGAGAACGGGAGCATCGCCCCAAGGGGTGTGCAAAACTGGCTGCAATTTTTGGTCCCGATGCCAACATTGAACCAAATTTTATTGACCTCACCAGCATGTCTCGCCTCACCCTACTTACTTGTAGGTGCCTACTAATAAGTGCTTAGAAACCCGCGAATTGTCTGGGCTTTGTAGTGGCTTGGAGCCTGTGCGGCGTGCGGCGTGCGGCGTGCGGTGTGCGGTGTGCGCAACTGTGCTTGACTCCTTCCGTCCCTCTGTCATCAGCCCAATGTTCCTTCCGTCTCTAACTTGGACTTGCTGACATTCAATTACCTCAGGCACCCTCACGTAGGCATGTGCGGATATGTAGCAAATCCCTCCACCTCACCTAACTTTG